TGGATTGAGGTTTTTCTTGTATGACTATTTGTAGGTAATTAGTATGAAGTCATGTGGGGAAACTCCTCCTTTACATACAGTGTGTGCTGGAGAGAAGGTTCATGTTGTGAGCTGGGTTACTACAAGTTCCTAAGAGGAAACCTTGACTGGGGGAAATATTTATTAGCATTTTTTCCTTTTATCTGTAAATGTACCTGTGTGGCTACTCTGCGCCCCTTGAGCTCTTGTATGATTTAATTTCACACTGCAATCACTTAGTATAATGGAAAGGTCTTTCACCATCTCCCCCACTCTAGTCCCCATTCATAAATAAATGCATATCACAGATACAGATCACAGAAATCCTTTCCAGGTCTCAACTCATCATCTAGCTTAGCCAAAACCTTGAAGAAAAAATTACGCTGAGTGAAGTGCAGCACATCGGGCTCTGCAGGTGGAGGGTGGGAATGCGCACTGCAAGTTCCTGCTCTCTCCATTTAAAATCAAGCCGAGTCCCTGTATGACCTCTCCCTCTACTAACAGTCCAGATTAGCAGAGTCCTTGAGATAACTAGGTCCCAGATGTGCAAGGGTTCTTAAAATCAATGTTGAAATCAATACCATGGGAATTGCCTGTATTACAGTATCAAGTGATGTCCATGTGAAATCGGCTTAATGGTAGATGGCTGCAGTCTGTATTTTATTTGCATGGTGTAAGCATACAGCCCCATGAAGAGGATATCGGTGTGCCACAAAGGTGAGTTGCAGGTTCTTGCATTCTTGCAGTTGGTAGGTTGCAAAATGTGATCCTGCCACAGCTGCCAAGATCAATCCAACAGCAGCAATCCAAGATTGAATAATAAATACAGTTAACCTACATTCCCATGTCACAAACAAGTAGGCATGGAGTCGGACATGTCACCTTTTTATCAGTGCAGTGTCTGTCTGCTGGGAGGTAACACCATTTCAAGCCCCTTAAAATGAAAATCCCCCAATTTAGGTCATGTTTCAAGCATTTAGTCCTTCTGTTTCTTTAGAAGTGTCACTTCAACTGCTGTTGTTTCCTGTCCATCTTGGCACAATGGTGGTAATATTTACTCAGTTACTTCAGTCCTGTTTATGAAGACTTTTAAGTTGTAAGCAATGTATCAATATGAAATGCTGTTATTGTATCATTTAAGGTTATTTTTCCTATGCAGGAATATCTCTGCTAGGACCTAAGAAGGGTCCTTTAATAGGTGTGTTTCTAAAAATACCTATTTAGAAACTTGTATCAAAAGGGTCCTCCTTGTTTATCTGTCTGTAACTTCTGTATTGTCTTTTGAGGTTGGGGGAAGGGAGAGAGAATGATGACATCTGTAGGGTGGGTACCCATCTTCCTGACAGCTCTGCTGAAGCATCTATCTTGACTTTTGTCTGTGCTGCCACATTCTGTTGCCTATCTTGTATAGCGCAGGGACGCCAGGTGTGCTTGTTTTCTAGCCAAATGTACTTATCTCCTAGCCAGATTTTGAAGAACTTCAACGATGAACATATCTTCCAACAGATGTGTTCAAAGCTCCTCTAAAATCATTTCAGTTTGCTGAGCTAGCTCTGTGCCTCATTTGGTAGTGATCTAGGGTGGTCTTTGACAGAGTTGTTGGAGCATTTTTTTCTGTCCTTCTTGGAGAGTGACCTCTGTCTCACAAGTTCCTAGTCATACTCTCTGCATGAGCTTTAATTCATCTGACTGTGCAGAAGTAGACCATAACGAGTGATTTAGTAGCTTTATTGCATAAGCCTAGAGATAATAATTCAGTCCATATTCCCAAATAAAGAAATCACCACCGTGAAAGAAAGCGAGTTGTTCTGCCTTCTCACCAAGGCCTGCAAATGAGGAGAACTGCATTGTTTGCTCTACCAAAGACATGTGTGAACTCTTAGCAAAAGTGTTCAAAGCTGTTCTGCCGGTGTTCCCCAAGTGTGAAATAAGATGGTATTTTCTTTTGCTCTTCTTTTGTCTTGTTTATTAAATAATACATCCTTCAGGGCCAGAACTGTCTGTTGTTACAGGTATGCACAGAACTTCACACACAAGTACTAATTTTGGTTTGGGCACCTAGTGGCTACTACAATTTAAACAACATTAAAAAGAGTGTGAGGGTTTTTTTATGGTCACTAGAGAATAAGCAGATTGATGATTAGATTAGGTGAAGTTATCATTTCCCAAAAAGGGACTTGAAGCTGAGACGATACAAGGTAACTAGAAAATGCATACTGATTTAGCTACTATTAAAAAAAAAATAATTGCCTTTAGATTAGTAAAGGAATAGAAAACACCAGCATGGCACTGTATGTATAAAGTTGCTGTTCACCCCAATCTTGGATACTGTGCAAAGATCCCTTCATCTCAAAAAATCCATAAATGTGGAAACAGCTCAGAGAAGGGCAATAAAGATGATCCCAAAGACATGGAACAGCTTTCTTATAAATAATAATAATAGAGTTGGCTGTGACTTTTTAGTCTGGAAAAAAAATGACTGAGAGGAGAAAAGATGTAGGTCTAAAATCACGCACAGTGACAAAGATGGATACCAATCAACTTGTCTCCTCCAATAAAGAGGTAGGTCACATTAGATGAAGCTAATGGGAGCAATATTCGAAACAAACAGATTCTCGATGCGCTGAGCAGCAGGCCTGTGGAAGGGCAGCTTCCAAGTCATTGCCGAGGAAGCTGCTGATGCTAAGAGTTAAGACAGGTCCAATGAGTAGATAAGTACACAGGGGGGAAAAAAAAAAAAAAAGAAGATTACTATATACCAAAGCCACATCCAACTTGGGAAGTTCTCTGAAGTGGAAGCAGTAGGAAGTTGAAAGCATACTGGCCTGTAACACACCCCTCCCATTTTCACTCTTCCATAGGGATTCCTTCAGAGACAGGGTTTGGGACAAGATGGACCCTTTGGCATAGCCTGATGTGGTTCTGTAGTTACAAAGCACGGTACATGCCATCCCTACAATACTGCCAGCTGTTGAACTCCTGTCTCAAAACTCTTTAACTTGCTAAATTTATCCCTGATGTCCTTCCACTTAATGGGCATGAAGTATGGGTCTCTCTGGAGTGTGTGCCTGAAAAACAGTGTTCATCTAGGATTTCTCATTTGTCTATAATTGTCCGTTATATTTCTGCCCTGAACTCTGTGGTCAGGGTAGTGCTTTGATTGACAGCTTTCTGACGATTCAGTGAATGTCACTGATGAAGTCACTTTTAGCTGCTTGACAACAAAGAGCTTAGGCAGGATTGAAAGCTTACTATTCCTCATGTAGGGGCTGTCTTTGTGTGATTCTGTCATATTGTATCACATGGTTGCATTAATCTAACCTTCATTAGAATAACTTAATTTATAGTACAAGGAACGTGAAAATTACAGGTGCGTAACTACTATAATCATCCTTTGCTTGCTTTTTTTATTTTTTATTTTTTTGAAGAATCACTTTAGGAGCTATTTTTCCATATTCAAGGGATATAATTTTTAACAAGGGTAGGCTGCAATACTACGGATTAATGCTATTTAGATTTAGTGACTTACTGCCTTAAAATAATCTGTATGAAACCATGCATCCTTTTCAGAAATGTCTTAAAGAGAAATCCTGTTTCCATCTGGGAAGTTGAAAGAGCAGAGCAAGCAGACAATGTCACGTCTGTGCAGAGCGCATTTTGCGGAGACTCAGTGGTCCAGTTGTGTCCCATTAACTGCAAGGTTTATCGTAAATGAAAAGCATCAGGCGTCCTGAGTGTCCTTTGCTTCGGGTTTAATGGGGCAGAACACCATAGGTGTAGCACACTTGCATGAGCTTGTTGTGGAGAACAGAACTTCTTCTCCTGTTTGTTTTCAATGGAAAAAAAAATTGGTCTCTCATACCAGTGGCTTTGCATTAGTGATACGACTGCTGGTTGAAGAAGTGCTGATATGGTAATGGTGGGCTGTGGTTCACCTAGCAGTGTGGAACTGCACCGTTAATTATTTGGATGAAATAAAATGTATGCACATTGTAAAATATCCCAACAGGACTAGTTTTTGAGAGACAACGTATACTGGCGTATGAGAGGAGTTGTCTTGCTGCTGGTATGCTGATGGAAGAGCTTTCTTTGGCCTCACAGACCAGGACTAAACCAAAGATGTTTTGTGGCATTAAGAATTTGAAAAACTCTTGAAAGTTCTTACATACGGAATCAGGACGGCAACTGGAGAGGATTTCAAAATAGTATCTGAATATGACTGAAATAGGTAACTTTGATCTAAGTTACTAAGTTGGGAAAACTAAAATGATAAATGTTGTTACTTCCATATAAAATTTCCCTTTGCAAGCTATTTAACCTGGGCTGCTCCTCCTCACTTTTGCAGTCTCTCAAGCAGGTTTCCTGGCAAAGCCAAGCTCAGGCTACGAAATGATGTCACGGGCATCCCCCGGGGCTCTGCGAGGCCAGGGTGACACCGCAGGTATGTGCTCAGGGTCACCTATCTTTTTTGTCCTGTGTCATGACGTAACTCCCTGGGCGCTCTCGGTGAGTAACGCTGCACGGGCAGCCCGTGACTCCCATTTCTCTGCTGCGCCCAAGGATCCCGCGCGTGTGATGGCGGCAGCCCGGCCTTTCCCGCTGAGGTGCTCCCCTGGGGCCTGCGGGACAAGCCCAACGGCATCGCGTGGAATTACGAAAGTTTAGAAACTTCCCCTCGCCGCTGATCTCTGGGGTGAGGGGCTGTGAGGAAACGTGAAAAAAAAACCAACAAAAAACCCAAACCCAAACCAACAGCAACCCACCACAATCAAACATAAAACCCCAAACCAACAGCCCCCTACCCACCGCTGCGAAACGGATGGTGGGCGGCGAGAGGGCGGCACGGGCCCTGCTCAGCGGCGGCGAGGGCGGCCGGAGCGCAGCGGCCCGCTCTGGGCAGAGAGCGCCGGCTCCC